GAAATCGTTTTGCATTTAGGCCTTTGTCCTTGTACAGTTAGTGGCAAAAATGTGACAATTTTTTAAGCAATTACCTACAGTTGGAAATTAAGTAAATAGTTGTTTCACCGTAACTGAAAAATGCTTGCCTGTGTAGGTACAGTCCTTAAAAGCAATACTTGTTTCATAATATTTCATAATGAAAACCGTCTAAACTAAAATAGTAAAAAAAATATACGGCTCGTGTGCTAGCTATCTAGTAGTATACTTACTTACTTACTAAACAAAACTTAGTCATTTTTTTAAATGTACTTAGTACGAAACTTAAAAAAGTCATTTAGGAAGCATCATCATCATAATGAGAGGTCCATACTACACGACCACGATCCTCTCTATGGACGTGTTATTTTTTAATCATTCTACTATAATGCATTCATTGAACATGTATCACATACAAAGTGAAATTTTCTCACCCTTCATCTTAACAAAATAGGGGCCAAAACGGGATTACCGTAAAAACCGCTAATTACATCTAATAAACCGATGAGATGTTAAACGGTCTTGACAGTTAGGCGCTTTTACAATGCCTAATCGGACCTAATGATACACTTATGATCAACAACAGGTAATTATATTCTTGGTAAAAAGCAACATTCTTGAGAAATTATTTTTTGCGTGTATTCCATTATCAACAGCTCGAAATCTGATCCAAAGTTAGGGATGTGTTTAGTGATTTCATTTATTAATGCTGTAAAAAGTTTTTGTACAAAAATAATAGCCAAATAATTGTTTTTAATACCAGAAGCTCTAGTGTTGAATTATAACCGTTAATTTTGAAAAATCGTAGGAAGACCTAGCATTTTTATTGCTGTGCTAAGTGATGCGAAAGATTAATTTGTTAAGATCATCAGAAGTCAATCTGATTGTAAATTAGTGAAGTGACTTCTGAGTGTCGCCGATTATCTCTTCCTACCTAATATTGTAGGTACTTGGATTTTTTTTCGTTTTTAACACCACTATGGCGATAGTAACATTGTTACTATGGCGACAGATTTAGTAAGACGGTGGTAGTTAAACAGTGGACTTAGATAGAGCCGTACCACCAAACAAATCAAGGAGAAATGTTTGCTCCACTGGGTATCGAACCCTGAATCTGATCCAGGTGGTCTTACCACTAGACCACAGAAGCAGTCTATTATGACAACCGATATTAATGGATGTCATCATGCCTAATCTGTTAATTTATTGAGTAAAACCACACCTACTCAAGCAAGTCACATCCCTAACGCCGTTTATCTTATTATAATTAAATTTTATGGTATCTGTTAACTAATAACGAAGGCTATTGGTAACAAAACAAATGGGCACGCTTTAAAAGCATTCCCAAACTCAAATACTCAATTTAATTAATAGGCATAAGGCATTCTTTGATAGGCCGAAGCCGACATGCTATTGTAGTCATGCCTTTTTCTAATAAAGATATGTATAAAACCAGTTAAAACTGGAATTGATGAAATTTTAAATTTAAATTGACTCCCACATTTTAAGGAAACAGTTTTAACAATTTTCATTTTCGTTACTGTTACGCAGAGTTGCAGATAACCTTTTTTCAGAAAGATTTTTGTACGAAGTTTAAAAGTAATTAGGAATAAAGATATTAATTGCCGTTAATACTGGCTGGTTAGAATTAAAATGAAGCCTTTATGGCGTGAGATTCCAGAGCGAAACCTTTTTTGTCACAGTTTTTGTTAATTTTTGCACGATAATTATGACATTATGAAATTCCAAGTTCGAAAACATGCGACCATCAATTGTTTGAGATCAGATTATTTTTGTAGTGAACAGAACACAAATAGTTTGTGACATTAGACATAATTAATAATACCAACCTCAAATTATGGGAGTTAATAATATGTATTTTGGATTCGACGAGATATATGATATTAAATATGCTAAAATGGACATTGACCGTTTTTTAGCAAAAACATTTACAATCTTAACGGTTTGTAAAGATATTTTTAGAAGTTCTTTAAATATTTTTATTAGTTTGCTACTTCTATTTATAATATGACTTGTATATTTGTATGGACTGCCTGAAAGAAGCAGAAAAAAGTTTTTCAGAAGTAACCAGGTTATGAAGTATACTACATTTTGTTCATAGATTTTATAAAGTTGCATTGAAAAAGTAGAGCTGTAGATTGAAATAAGTTACTACTTTATAATTGAACTCACACATATCGATATATAGTTACTAAAGATGAACCTTTCACATTTGCAACTGAAATAAAGTGTGAAATCACTACAATTTAATAGCAACAAGTGCGTTACGTAGTTGCGAAAAAACGGTTAAGTGGTACTTAGGCGTGTTTACGTCGTTACCTCATGCATCAAGTTGCAGTGCAGATTGATTTTGATATAACTACCAAGTTAAGTCACTGAATTTTATTACTTAATAATAAAAAATATACTGGTTGTTTTGCCCACGTATTAAGTACCTACAGTCATTTGATATTATAGCTATATTTTATCCTTACAGTTTCGTTTGTTCGCTGCGTTAGTTTTTTGTGATGTTTTATGATTACTTCGATATAGGTAGTTATTATTGTGTGACGTCATTTAAGCTCAATACTTCTAAATGATTTTTTATTTATTTTTATTTTTATTTTATAAAAAAGGTTCACCAACAGCTTGTGGGCATTTCTACTCCACGGTGTATTTTTTCTCAATTCGGTGCAAAAATTTATATTTAGTTTTTTAAGTAGTTTCGATACAAAAAAATAAATTTTACTCCATTCTGAATGTAAAAATAGCATTGTCACTAAATATTGTGAAGTGGTTTATGAGAGAAGTTAAGCACCGAATTGAGAGAGCACCGAATTGAGAAAATGAATCACGGAATTGAGAAATGAATCTCCAAATATAAAAATCGCTCCGCAGACTTAGTATTGATGACATTATGAAGAAATACCTAATGTATTTCAATAATCAATATAATAAATATACTTAAAACGTTTTGATATCCGACTGCTGGTCTAGTAGTTAGATGGTTTATTTTAGGTTTATGTGTCTGAAATACCAATGGAATAAAACAAAAATCCTAATCAATATGTTTAATTTTTTAATAAAGAACTATAATAAAATTAATTCTTAATATTTATATATTATTTTAATTTTATTTATTAAAACAAATAAATACATAACACAGGGTCTCATTGTTTATTTATGCTTAACCTTAAACATAAAACAGATATTGCAAGACCCAAGAGCTAGATTAACCTGACACTATACCGAAGATATATTGGACGTCAGTTTGTACACGATTAAAATGGCTCTCAAATAGCTGAAATACAACAAGGTACCGGGTGTTACGGCATCATTGCTGAGCATCGCCGGTACTAAAGGCTCTACAGAAGCAGTTCAATTCCGTCATTCTCGAAGAAAAAACGCCTTCGGTATGGCACAGAAGTGTGTTGATAGCATTATAGACTCATCTCACTTATGAGGCGTGTTTACGAGCTGTTTTCGAGAGTCCTTACGAATCATCTCGCTCGCAGAGTCGACGACTTCCAGTCTTCCGAACAAGCTTGTTTCCGAAAAGGCTGTATTATGGTACACACACAGGTACGCTACGGCAGATTATACAGAAGACCAAGGAGTCGCAATATCGCGGACGATATCGGAGTCATGGCTGAGACCTTGTAAGATCTAAGCACAATGCTCGATGGCCTCCGCAGAGCCTCTCAACAAGTGGGTCTCAAAATGAACATGGACAAGACAAAAATCATGTCAAATGTCCGTGTTGCACTTACTCCTCTGAAGGTTGGAGACTACACTCGAAGTTTTTGACAATTGTGTATACCTGGGACAAGAGTCCAGATAGTTAGGTCCAACTTTGAGAAAGAGGTCTATCGCTGAATTCAACATAGCTAAGCATCGAACGGGAGGCTTCGCTATTTCGTCTGAAATACCGCAGTGTCTTAAGACAAAAGTCTTCGACCAGTGTGTGTTTCCAGTGATGGTGTATGGATGGGAAACGTGGTCGCTTACTATGAGCCTAATAAGAATCAGAAATGAAAATAATATCGGCAAAAGCACCAAAGTGACCGGCATAGCCCGCAGAATTGCATAAATCAAGTAGGAGTGGGCGGGGCACATAGCTCGTACAGATAATGGCTGTTGGGACTGAAAAATTGTCGAGTGGAAACCACGGACCAGTGAGCAGGCCCCCCACTAGGTAGACCGACGATCTGGCGAAGGTCGAGGGAAGAACCTGGAAGAATTATTTTGATAAGATATTGTTATTGCTAGTAGTGTATTATTTTTAATGAAACCTCAAAAAATAAGTTTTATTGTCTTCTGTCCAATGACTGGTACGGTCCAATGATTGGTAGTTCACCCTATTATTATGCTCTATTGATTTCATTATTATTTTAAGACACACAAACAATTTATAGCACAATAAAAGTCTCTATTTTCATTTAATATCAATTCGGTGTACGTGTTTTCTCAATTCGATGCCCCATATTCCGCGGAATTGAGATCCACGGAATTGAGGAAAAATCACATTTCATCAAATTACTCTAAAATATTATAAATTACAACCATTTCTACCAAACGTAATGGCAGATATCAGTTAAATACTTAATTAATTCAGCAGTAATCTCATTAAATACTTCATGAACATTATTAATATCGCACACCGGTTTGAGAAATGACCAGTGACCAAAAATTCTGAGTGATTTCAAACCTCTGAAAAATGCTCCTCAAAGCGACAGATCCCACTTTTATACTGCTCGACCACTCGAGTGCAACTGCTAGTTTATGGGAATCAGTCGTGGGTGTTCGNGGTATACCATGATTGATACTTTTGGAGTCTGTGCAGGCAAACTTTACATGTTTCATAATCTTGGCACCGACTCCAGAAGTATCAATCATGGTATACCTACATAAATATTAATAATTCGTCCTAATAAATAAGTAGGTAATTAGTAATTATTATTCTGCTTTTTAGTGTAGGTTTTTTGGAGTCGGTTTTATTTTTTTTTTATAAAATTTAACTTATTTGGCTAGCAATATGATAAATGATATTGAGCAATTGAACGTGAGTGAATTGCATAAAATCTACGTAATTTTTGTCAAGGATGTAGTTCGTAAAGGCATGACCTTGTGATAATATTCACATTAATCTAATTAAAGTCACAATAGACTCGTAAACTGTAATGTAAGTGAATTGTTTAAACTAATATAATCGATAAGTTTAATAAAATATTAATTATTTTAATTTAATAAGAGTTTTTGTTACAATATTTTATTATTTCTATAATCGTTTAGCCAAAGAATTGTGTTTAAAGTGAGTTTGTTGAAGTTATTTTATGTAAATAAAATTTAATTGGTGCCTTTATATTTATAACAATAACAATGTAGTTCAGATTAAGCTTGTTCCTGGACAAATCTAAATTGTGAGGCTGAGTGATTAATAATAATACTTTTGTAAGGAATGTTTCTAATAGGTAACTCAAGTAGTAAATAATGATTTTCACAAGACAAAGACAATCCAACAAAACGCTTGTTTTTATTTTTTAGTTAAATGTTTTTTCTTTCTTCCTAAAAGCCTCTAACAAACTTTTGTTATAAGAGTGGTAGGTGGACTAGTAAGTACCGTAATGTTTTAACCCTTGGTTTCAGAGGAAAAATTGTTTTGTGAATTAGATTTAACATAGTTTACAAGTTTTGAATAAAACAAACTACAAAGAAAATATAAATTCCGCTTAAAAGTTTTGATATAGAGACTATGAAAACTTTTGCACTTTCACATCATAATAATAAAAATTATGAAGAAATCTTTGCATTGTGATTGTCATTAGAACGTCACTGAGGATCAAACTGTGCCTTTACTAAGAATTTCTTCCACATATCATAATAAAAGAAACCAGCCGTAAACCTTATGGACTTTATTGACTTTATGTACACGATATCAAACCGCACATTACATAACAATTTACACCGGAATACGCAAACAGACAGTATAAATTACAACACTAACTTTACATCATTCCTCAATAAACGAGTTTTACCCATAATATTGTTTTTATCCTAATTAAACCCAACAATTTTATACCAAAACAAAATAAAGATAAAAATGAAATGATAGCAATTAGGGTGACGCGACGGCACCAGTAATGGACATGGCACCAATTATGGACATTTTTTTCGTTGATCGAATTTATTAAGCAACTGTCGCAACATTTTGAACTGGCAACACTAAAATCACAATCAATAGATGTTTGGGCTATCATTTTGACACACGTCACCAAAATCGGCCACTTTGTTTTAAGATAGCTGCGAAGTGAAATCTCGTTGCGCGCGGTGGTCATGAAAATCCGTTTTTACTATTGAAACCGTTAAGGAAGTGAGTACATATTTGTGCTTGGTGCTATCTTGTGTTGTGTTATAATGAGATTTGATGTTATTTTTACTGAATAATAATAAATAGCAATTAATTTGAGCCAAGTTAAAAATGTCTTATCACAGCCATAAGTTTTTTCTGGGGTTTGTTCATTACTGGATTCGATATTTTATGAAATTCAGTAATGGACAAGTGTCCATGCTTAAGTTTTTAATAGATTTTTTAGTTTATTGTATTAAATTATTTAATTTTATGCACTAAACATTTGGGTTGAGTTGATTTTGTAATTGCTCTTTATTTTCCAATGTTGGACGATGTCCATAACTGGGTATTTTTAGTTGTCCATAATTGGGTTCTTTGTTTTGTCTTAGATGGCACCAAAACAAAACACCCCTAAACAAATGGGGAGAGCATTGGATGCTGTAAGGATGGGGGAAAAGACAAGCACGGCTGCCCTCCGGTTTGATGTTCCTCGAATAACCTGGGTTACCTCCACCATATCGAATAACAAATGATCGAAAGTAAAAATATCAAACACGTTTCATCAAAAACTCAAAACATCGAACGATTAAAATATAGAATTTACAAAATGATCGAAATAATCTTCAAAAGATCTAAGGATTAAACTATCGAAAATCGATCTTATTGTAAAGTTTAATAGGAAGATGGAGGTAAGGGTTCCTTGTTGACCCTAGAAATTAAAAAAAAAGTTTTATTTATATTCATCATAATTATGACATTTAGTTTAAACTTATTTACTGATTTTCGATATTTTAATCATTCGATATTTTGAACATTTGATCATTTGTAAATTCGATATTTTGCTCGTTTAAAGTCGAGGGATGACGTTACCGAAGAAGGCATTCGCAAATGGTTCGATGAAATAACGAGAAACATAGAAGTTATAGGTTTAAAAGATGTTTTAGATGAACCCAGCCGGATATTTAATACCGACGGAAGCGCATTTTGTCACCAGATGGTTGATTGAAAGTCTGATACTTGAAAATCGAAGACTGATCATGTTGAAAGTTCAAATAGCAGTAATAAAAGTTGATTTGTGACATCATTTGTTTCATTAATGTGTTCAATACAAAAGTGTCCATTAATGGATGTTCATAATTGGGTCCATGTCCATGACTGGGTGTCCATTACTGAATTTTTGATGTCCAACAATGGTGATTTCGTAAATTTCAATTTATAATTTTTTTATTAATTATCTATTAAACATACAGGATTTTTGGTTTTGTTTAAATGTTCCTTATGTATTTAAGTGCCGAAAAAAAAATCACCACTTTTGTATCGTCAAAAAACATCCCCTTTTTAAACGAAATTCGAATTTAGTGCGCTTAACATGTCCATGATTGGTTCCGTCACCCTACATTAAATGAAATATCATAGTACAATATGGTGACATATTTGTCTATATTTTATAACAGGCAAAGCATAAAGTGATAATTTATAAATATTTGAAAGATGAAACTGTTGCTAAATTAATTAAAATATAAATTGCTTAAAGTATTAAACTACATGAAATCCAAGCAAAAATATAATGTTTAAACATGTTCGTTACTTACTACAATACTTGCCATTGCGAGTGCTATACTTTACATTTACTGTTCCTAGCAAACAGTTGCTAATGAATAACTACAATAAATCCATCAGCATAGATACGTGCTTCGATATAAAATTCAGTATAAAATCACTATAACGTTAACCTCAATAGTTTTAATCTATGTTCTAAGCCTTCTAAGCTACTAGAGTAATTCACAGTCGTATAACAATTTCAACTTTATTCAATCCACTTTTAACACAAGAATCTTAACTTCAGTCTAAAATCACTAGTATTCAAATCACCAAAGTGTTCACTAAAATCTTTCTGAGTCTTTTGGAGCATCTACTTTCTACAAAAAGGCTTGTTGGAATATTAGATGTGCTAGGTAACAACGCTGTGACGTGGGACCCTATTAATATCAATATGATGATCGTCAATGATCAACCAACACGCGTGGCTTAAGAATTTGTCCTTTGTCTTGAGAGAAGACCTAAACCTTCGTCTTGACTGTTCAAAGCAACTGCCACCCCAATGATTTAATAAATGTAATCCCACCGAACACATTTTCATGTAAAATGTTGCCAAGACGAGACCATGATGGCTTGCATTGTGAAAAGGTAAATAGAGCTAATTTTCTAACTCAACAAACAAACTTTACATCTTATTCAAAATATTTGGCAAAGCCGTTTTGCTATCAACAAGAAATTATTCTACCAAACCAGTTGAAGAAAAAATCATGCCAGAATTCAACATTAGAGAAGACCTAAGCCTAACTATAGTGATGTAGGCTGACACGATGACCTTTTCGCTAACACAGTGTTGTTAATTTACGCTATAGATAGGATAGAGATATCTATCTAACTAAGATAACCTCGACCTAAATTTTACCCAGACACATAAAAAACTTAGACAGTATTCTTGATATTTTGATACGAGCGCGATCGTTTTAGGTAGTCAAGTATCAAGACTTTCCCATAAAAAAAAACCTTGAATTTTATCAGGACTCACGCCAACAGCGCATCAACTATGCCCATCTAAACATCCAACACAGGTAACGTGACCTTTTTGTTCGCACAATGTGGTAAATGCTCCTCAAGCGTTACGTAGCTTTCGTAACAGCGCTCGCAGCGCTTTAGCTCGCCGCTAGGAGCACCCGTGCCGCTGCATCCAGCTCGTGTAGCGGGCTACGTCAGCCTGGGTGACGGTGCGTTGGGTCTTCTCCATAGCGGCCTCCAAGTCGTTCATAGAGACAGGCGCTTCAAGTTCGGAACGCTTCAGCTGACGGATCTGGTCGGGACTCTTGCCGGCGATTTTGCGACGCATCGTCATCATTGCTGCGTCCCTGGAAACAAAAGATAAATTAAAACGCAGTATGAAATAATATTTATAATGTTTCAAACGCGAAAGAAAGTACAACGCTTACCACTCTTCTGTTGATCGACATAGTCATAATATAGAATTGTCTATCATTGTAGTTAAAAAGCTCTATCAAATAAGATGTTTTACACAAGACATCTGTTATACTCTTAAGGGACCGCACACTAAATCTTCAGCCAAACCAACGCGTGCAAATCGCGTCGGCGAATGTGCTTAAAACGTATCTATAAGATTGTCTCACCTGCACAGATTGCAAATATCTGAACCGCTGTACCCATCGAGCTTCGTAGTAAGGTCAGCGAAGTTAACATCGTCTGCCAACACTACTTCTCGAAGACACAAGTGCAATAGCTTAACCCTCGTCATTTCTGTAACAAATACATAAGTACCTACAGACTTTTGACCCCACCATTCTTCCGCTAATGTTTGTGTGTTATCGGTACACGCTAAATTATCTATGAGTGCACACGCACACTACAATAATGACGCTCGGATTGCTTGGATCAAACTCCCCGCTCGTTTCCCTCGACCAAAAATTGGTGGGGCGCGTCTTCGTGGATGAAACGATAATACACTGTACAGTCAAGGACACATCAGACTGAGCTTTGTTCCAAAATAGCACATATTACAAATACATAACATGCCATAGCAGGCCTCCCAAGGTAGACCGACGATCTGATGAATGTCGCTGGAAGAATCTGGATGCAGGTAGCGCAGGACCGGTCATTATGGAAATCCTTAGACGAGGCCTTTGTCCAGCAGTGGACGTCATTTGGCTGAAACGAAGGAATGAAGATGCTACAGTCTTTATTAGAGATCTTACACATACCATCAGGGAGACCAATGTATATCCTCTTCTCAAATCGCCTTCTGAAAGCTTCGTCGATGTCCCAAGGGTGGTTTGTAGCCGCAAGCACCATTATTATTTTGTCCCGATTACTGGAAGAGAAAAGCTAAATTAAACCAGTTCCAAAGACTTGTACTAAACTTGCGTGTTAACAAAATCAAAGGTCGTCCTTCAGCAATCAGCTAGATGGTGATAGTGATTGCTAGCTACGCCGCCGCTAGAAATGATAATTTTCAAACGCTTAAAGAAGTCTATGTTGTTACTATTGTAACCGGTTTTGAGACAAATACTTTCTATCTAAAGTTATTTTAAATAGTTGTCCTCTCTCCAGTAAATCTGAAAGACATTGATTAATAGCACTTAGGGCCCTCGCCCACGGCGACAGCATCGCTACTAACGCGCGTTAGTCACATTTACAACGCACTCCAGAAGTGATACCAACGCGCTACAGCATCAGCGCGACTGCATCGCTTCAAAAAGTCGCCGTGGGCAAGAGCCCTTAAATTGTGCTGTCTCTTTTTTGTACGAGTTCTTCTTTTGTGTATTATAGTGCTTTATTTGTCTTTATACAGTAGTTACACTTTAGTTTGTAATCTTACAAAGCTGCCGCGAGTCCATCCATCTGTATCAGCAGCTCTGCCTTGAACCTGCGCGAGGCCTCGTGCTCCGAGTCAGCGCCTCGCACCGCGCACAGGGAGTCCACCTCGTCCAGGAATATCGTGCTTGGGGCATAGAAGGCTGCCTGGAAAACAAAGAACAAACATTGATTTTAAACTACAAATAATAATCATCGAGTACAGGCACTATTGAGATCACTTAAAAGAGGCTGAGAAAGATAAGAGTTTCTTGGACTGCTATATCTTTGAACGGCCCATGTTGACTGTTTCGAAGTAGGATTAAACATTTCAGGCTCTTAGGTGGCAAAAAGTTAGTATTTTACATAAGATTTTAAGACTAATGTTATCAACTAACTGAAACTTTTTAATTGAATAAATACCATATCAAACAAAAGCCGGACGAGTTTTTCCGAGTCCCCCCTGTACTTCGAAGTGAGGGTAGCTGATGAAACGTTGAAGAACGTGGTCTTGCACTCAGTAGCGACCGCTCTGGCCAACAAAGTCTTCCCTGTTCCTGGAGGACCCGTGAGTAGCACGCCTTTCCACGGTCTTCGGATGCCCTGGACATCACAAAATTGGATTAATTAGTTGATCAATTTAAGATATGCATAAACATAGATTAATCAATCAAAGAAAGGACACAACTGCCCCAGAGCTTGTCATAAGCCATCGAAATACAGTCTTTAGCTAACCAGAGCATAAGATCTAGGGCAGTTTTTATAAGCTTTTCAAACAACTGTCACAAGTAAGATGAGGTAATAGTTACCTCTTTGACCACTGGGTGTGACAGCTAATAAATAAAAATAAAGTATCAGACAACCACATTAGTGTATTCTTCAGACTACTATTTAAAGGTCTTAACCAAAGTTCTGTTTGATCAAAATAATTAAAAATAACTACTCTGACCGTGATCAAAATATAACCGCATGCATTCAGCCTAAGAACCTCTATTCAGGAGGTAATTACAGTAACACATTAGTGATTACACTGACCTACTTTGCATATACGTTGGACATGTAAAGGGTTATTTGAAACACTTTCAAGAAAGCCAAGCAAGTCCTAAAGGAGTAAAATGTCAGGACGATTATATCGCTCACGCGAATCTCCAATTTAAAGTAGGCTAATTCTGAGTTTGGTGTTACCTTTGTGGGCTTGGCTTTATTTGTGTAATCATGTTTTACGAGACTGTGTGCACTCGGCGTATCCCTTATCGCAAGATATACTAATATTGATAAAGGTTATTTTACATCGGCTAGATTTTGAGACTCAATGACACCACCAACAATTTAGAGGTTCATGTGAGGTCTACCGATAACCGAAACCTTGATATTCCAGTTGGGTTCAAAATGCAAGCTTTATTGTTAGTTTCAGTTCTTCAAAATCAACTATTCTGTCATTTGACATGAATAAAGGATATTTATTCATTTGAAAATAAAAAAAAAAAATGAGTCACATAAGAGTCCATGCTATTCTTGTATCATGTGATTACTACCGAGAAGCTACCCATTACATCAACTAGCAATTTCAAGCATACAATTATCTAGTTAGTGTAATGTTTTGAGACCATTACCTTAAAATAGTCCGGCATCACGAGTGGCAAGACCATAGCTTCTTGCAGCACCGACTTAGCGTCGTCTAAACCAATCACATCCTTCCAACGAACGTCAGGATTCTTCTGCAATATGTCCCTTTCTAGGGTCTCTACTAAATGCAGCTCGTACCCCGTCGCATCAAAAACTTTCTCGTCTCTTTCCAACACCGCCACGTCTCCTTCTGTAGGTATATCGGTTTTTCTAACAGTGGGTTTTATCGGTATAAGGTGCCTCGCCCTACCTCTGGGCATGCGGTCCACCGATCGACATTTCCTACCGCTTCCTACTGAAGATGAAGTGGAGGATGTCTTCCTGGAGACGATGGAGGGGAGAGTGGGCTGGATGTTGGGGTCTCGACGTCGCAATGTGCCGGCCCACTTCTCTGTCGTCGGATCATTTTGCTTTGAAGTGTCCATTGGTTGTATTTGGAAAGTGTATGCTTGTGTTGGCTTTACCACTGAAATGAAAAATACTTCGGTTTTATCTAAGTAAGTATACAATTACCTTTATTTAGTTTCTGAATATAAATCTTGAGAGTTTCTGACACAACAATTTCCAGACCCAAGTATAAGATAATAAGACGACGGATCATCCATCTGATACTCATAGCACCAATAAGGATTTTAATCGTAAAAAAAGTTTGCACACCTACAACTCACGATGCATGGAAATGACGAGAAAATAATTGACTTGATTGGATATGGTGCTGTTCCTCATAATTAACCCTCATGATATAAGGATCCTACTCATTCTTTTCATAATCAATATCTCCAACCTATCGACGTCACCTGTTGATATATTTCATTACCTTGTGTAGGAGGATGCCTCGTGCCATTCGCCATGTGTGTATCCGGAACGTTCTGCTTCGCCCTCTCTCTTCGCACCTCGCTCCGTTCTGTCCTCAGGCCATCTCTAGGAGGCTCGTTCTTGTCTCTGCCATCTCCACCACGCCTGGTTGACATCCGCGCGAAGCCAAATGGTTGCAGGCTCTCTGACATCATGCGGTCCATCATTCGGGCCATTTGGTGGAACCCTGACGATGGGCTGGAAAAAGTTTGAAATTTAAGAAGATTACGAAGGCCAACACATTATGGTAAAATGTTAATGCACAGCAGGAACAATATAGCGTCTAAGGATAGATGAAGAATAAAGATAAGCCACGATAGCCGAACGGTGAAGGGGTCGGACTGGCTGACTCGTGATCGAGGAACGCGGGTTCGGTCCCCGCCGCCGCTCGACTATTGTTGTGAGCTCACTCGTAATACAAGCTACGTGATCTTTAAAAAAAATCTTATTTTTCAAGCAAAGAACTCCTTGAACTTATTAAATAATAAATACAAATACTTGTCGTACTTTGAGATGCATAATTAACAAAATACCTTTGCTCCAAATCCAATTATGTATTAAGAATTACACCCGTGGTTTAGATCATACATTGGGCCAGGACTTTTATAATAAAAACTATTATGGAACATTTTGAAATAAACATAAGTGCACCCACAGGCAGAAACAAGTCTTATAATTTTCAGACCTACGAATACCACCTACAGGTATAAACTTACAAGTCAAGCGATCCTTGACTCTATTACATTTAATTACTTTCATAGCTCGAGGAAAGCCGTGATAAGAACACTATTAACTATAATGACGTTGGGAAAGTATTTTCGTTAATCATTACGAACACAAAAGTAATCAAATTTAGATGAGTGATAACATTTCTGCTACGAAATGCTACGAGACTACGAATGTACCTAGTTAGTTTATAGTAAAGAACTGAACTCATGCATGAAGGTCCCGGGTTCGATCTTGGGCACACACAAAATTGGTGAAGAAATAACCATAAAGTAACAACATACCTAGTAGTAATACACTCGGCATCAAATAAATCGCACCTCCCGAGACAAGCATTTTCAAACGTATGCTTCCCCACTTCCCACCGATATTGGCACCATTTAAAAGCCTAGTTCTTACCTTCATTTCATTAAAGGAAAGGTTTTTACCCCAAAAATGTGTCTTTAGAAGGATCCAGAGTCACTTCTTCAAAAAATAGGTAGTTACGCTATAGCCATTTTTTATGACTATAAAACTGTTAAGTTGGGATTAATCGCTATCCATCTGTTAAAGAGGACACGTGAGATCTTTATTTGGTTTTATAACCATAAAAATTGGTCTAATTGATCCCAGAGGTGAGCCCAAAGTGAGGTCTATTTTCAAGTCACATTCATGGTATATGTTAATCATTTATTTAGAAAGGAAATGTATTTTTCTTTATGGATATTTATTGGGCTTTCAAATAACACCAATACTGTTGGGGTACCATGATTGTGTCAGAAGAAAATCTTTAAAGTTCGCGTCGCGGAAGGTGCGGTTTATTTGATGTTGAGTATATTTACAGTAGTTTAGCTTTAAAAACGTTTGACAATTAATTTTATTAAACCTATAGAGAAAGAGATGTATCTGAAAACGATACGATGAATGTTATCTAGGATTTTCCATGTCAGCAGAAACCAAGCTTCGTTTCAGCCAAAGTCATTTGGCTACGTCAGTCCACTGCTGGACAAAGGCCCAAGGATTTCCTTAACGACCGGTCTTGCGTTGCCCGCATTCATACCTACGATGAAACCAAACTTATCTGTACCTAAATAATTATCTATAAGCGAAGTGAACCATCCTGGTTGCTAATAAAAACATTTTTTTTTATGCTTACTCTACTACCTACTTTTCAGTTTAGCTTAAAAGATATAAAGATTTCGCAGATTACTTGTATCAATTACTAATGTTCGTTGTTGACAGTTTTCCTGATAACTTCACCAAAATAATCTATCATCTTTGAGCATCTGAAATGCTACGTACCCAAAAAACGGATCATGCTGGAAGTACTGTCTCAGTCCCGCCACGTTGGGGATCAACGTATCACCGAATCCAAAATCCATCCTGAGTCTCAGCACTCTTCTGACTTTTGCTAAGAACATAAGTAATTGTTTGTGTGTAGCATTCAAATGGAGGTCACTGTAGGTCACGGAAACATAATTTCTCAGGTATATAAGTATGGAAAGTGTGTCATTACTTTTGTTGAACCGGGCTGGAAAATATCGTGTGCTATTTGACAGGTCTGTTATGGTGCGGTTGCCATGGCAACGCGGTTGCGGAAACCGACCACTGACCGCGGCAATGGTTGCGTACGGCCGTACAAACTTATCAAATCTTCGGTCAAATTACATTTTTGTGATTCAACACCTTATTTCTTATGCAATAAAGCTCTTGGCCCCTTCGTCTTATAGAAGTTTATATTGGTGTTTGGATGAAAGGCTCTTGACTGTTCTACTTTTTTTGACGTCATTACGTTTTATTTATAATGCGTTTGTTACATGTTGCATTATTTATTTATAGCCTGACCAGGAACATAAAAACCCTCGCCATGTTGCGGAAAACTAATGGTACTAATTTCTTTTAATGGCAACAGTAACTGAAAACTTCATTGACATGTCACCTTGCATGTCAGTCTATTGCTGTCAAAGTGTAAACAAACTTTATTTTAAATGTGCGCAATTGATTTTGTGAATTAAATTGCTAAAATATTTTTATAGTCGTGAAAGAAAAGTGGTTCACAATGTGTTAAAGTATTTGTCGAAGAGAAATACTAAGGGTTCGGACAATATTTTCATTGATAATGTTTCCGACAAAGGTTGTCAAATTGACTGACATGTTTATCGTATAGTACAGTCCACTATGAAAATTAGCTGTGGTTTGTTTCAACTACCTATTTTAAAGTTTTTTGTCACTTTCTAAGTGTTGAATTTTATGGAATTGGGAAAGAAGTACCGAGTTTGAAGCGTTCATGAGCAGACATTGCAGTTGAATATTCAAGTTCTGAATTTGATTATTGACGAATAATAAAATAAATCCTACTAACTCGATTGATGGTTTCATTTAATTTATTTAAACCAGATTACCTATAAAATCTTTATTCGTTAATTTATGAAAATATCAAATTAGGACGTAATCCTGAATCCTGATACATAAAGTCAGCCTATTAATTTAACACAGGTACGACTGTACTCAGTGTTGCACTATCAAATGCAATTGACGCGCCTCTATGCCAGGGTTTTTATGTTCCTGGTCAGGCTATAATAATGAACCTAATTTGGGAAAAGTTACAATTTAAAATAAATAAAATCTATATTACAGTACAAAAGACATAAACGAGCGCTAAAACAATAAACAAATTAGGTAAACTTAAAAAAAGTTTATGCATGATGCAAATAAAAATCACGAAAAATCTAAATTATTACTTATTTTTATAACTTGTGAATAGAATAAATGATAAAATCTAAAATAAGAACCTCTTGAAACATCGGATCTCATTCAAACATATACGAGAGGTATCTCAATATTTCAAATTAGTGAGACTAATGGAGCCTTCCATTAAGATTCACATTCACATTCACTGAATAATTATTAAGTACAGTTGTATTATTTTCCATTCAAAATTTCACCTACTACCTAAGATGCAACTGTCGAAAGTGTACAGACGAGAGGCATCTTTACTTGTCCTCTATGTAGTGAATTCCATAACTTGGGCACATACATCTTTCATCATCATCATTATCATTTCAGCCACAGGACGTCCACTGCTGAACATAGGCCTCCCCCAGTGACTTCCACATCGCACGGTTGGTAGCGGCCTGCATCCAGCGCCTTCCTGCTACCTTTATCAGGTCGAATAAGTTTAAATACCTGTCCTAACTAACGTGAATCATCAGCGATATTTCCGCCTGAAAAACGACTACGCTGTTGCCAGGTACATAGTTGCAAATTGCTATCAGAGGTCAATAACTATTCCACAACGTCACCTACTTTGCAGCTTGCAAACTTCGACTTGCATTGGGGTAAACGAACCCAATGTTTACTGTTGACGGAAGGAGGGTAGAGGGATGTGGGTCAAAGGTCGATGACTAGACACCATGAAAGGTCATCGACATACACTACTTTCCTTTCATTCGATATGCAATCGATTGAGATTAATTACCCTAAGATTATTGGTGTTACGGTTATGGATTGTTTCTAGCTAGAAATTCTTAACTAGTTTATGAAATTACTAGTTATTGAAGACGCTGTAATCAGGTGACATAAAAGTAACGTTTCCGCATCATGCTTGTGGAATACTTATCTAATAACTTTAAAACTATGTAACTAGAAAGGTAAAGTTACCAATTAATAACCTACTTACTTAATTCCTAACAATTACGTATTCTTACGAAAATGGGAAAGTAAAGTAATTAGAAATTGTAAGTATTTGTAACTAAAATGTTGCCAAAAATGAGTGGACAACTATTATATGTTTTCCATTTCATTTTGCAGATTATTGTTTTCACAAAGTTCAAGTTTGAATACGAATATCTTTATAGGTGATAGGAAAAAATGATAAAGTTGATCTAATAGGTTCTTGAATGAGTATTAGCAAGACTGCTGGTGCAGAAGCCAAATATAGAAAGCGACACTCCAAATTGATGCTAAACAATTACTGTGCAGAATCCTTAAGCAGGATAACCCATTTAAAAGTCGATTCGTCTTCAGAATCATGTCAAGATCAATTTAGCAGCGAGGTGAATGAATACGAACTCCTTAAAACAGTTACGCCTACTGGACAATTTGTTTTATTGCAAATTGCCCCACTCCCACGCAGGCGTCCATGGACAGTCAGTCATCTCTATAAACACAACGTCTTTGTGATAATAAAATCATTTTAGGTAGTTGGACTTTAATTAATCAAGGCTCTTTATTGTAGCGAGTAGTGAGTGACACTGTTCTTCCCGCACTGCCGCGGAGAAGTGTCCAAGTTAGGACAATAGCTCGCGGTTCTGTTTCTTTAGACTTCTTTTAAAACAATAGGATATGTACGAGACAATAAACGACGAAGCTAAAAATATACATAAGACTTCTACACTACACACATACAAAATAAATTTTATAAAATCCGATTTGAATGAAAATTAAAATAATTAAAATGAATCAATTTTCTGACTTCATCATACCATTTATCATGTTAACAGCCCATGTTAACATGGGCTAGTGCCGGCTCATATACCTACCCATTTATCTAACACCCTGTATATTAAAGGAGTTTATCTTTTCCCACTAATTAAACTTTGACTTTTGCAATATCAGAGCGATTCTGTAGGTTGGAAGGCGTTGCTATTTTACGTAAAATACAGATTTTAAGCCATTGTGTTATAAATGTATACGTAGTAATATTACTTCAACGTTTTAAGTTTGTTGTTTGTGTTTTTGTTAGCAAGTCGTACATTGTCTTATTAAACCTGACTGTACCTAAGTACATCATGAAGACATTGTCTGAAGATTTATGACCATTTGTCAATTATCATTAATGTAGGTCGGAAACATTTACCTCGTTTATGTTATTGATGTTATTAGCCTCGAGATGAGTTAAGCCTGTAAGTGCTCTTTATGCCTATTAATTCATTATTGTAAGGTTTTTGGACTTATTTATCATACAAAATACCAACAATAACTTGACAAAATACGCCTATCGATGTACGAGTACGAGTCCTGTATTCCCGTTGTCCCCGTGATTCTTGTCCCCATGACAAGGGGAATTTATTAAAACAATAAAAAATACTTTCTTTTGTCCCCTTTAATAAGGTGGACAATGGAAAGGAATTTCTGGCGTACCGTTGTCCCCATGATGTTTATAGTCAAACGATTCTGAAACGTGTAACCCCCTGCTAAATACTGGTTCTCATTTTGATCAAACTGAACATTAGAGATATTATTACCTAACTGTTCTTTTCCATGCCTAATTGCCTGCTGTATAATTATTAATACTGACGGGATTGTTACCATGTACCTTAATTTTGAGTTTCCGATATTTCGCCACTGTTGCAAGCGCCATGGTCACGGAGTAACTGAAAATTAAGGTACATGGTAGCACAATCCCGTCAGTAATAATAATTTGTTAGTGACCATGAAAGTTTAAAACAATATATTGCCCACTGTATGTTTTAACTAATATAATTTGTACACATGGTAAAATATTGAAACGCCATTTATCATAGCTTTTGTTAGTCACGGCAAACGTAAAGTCTAGACCAAAATATGACTGTACCCAGTCATTACAGTCCTAACTCGTTATCAGGATGATCTATGATGTATGGTGGTTAGAGTGGTTTGTTAAAAACCTTGATAATCCAGTGGAGGAATGGTGCCTTATAGAAATGATAATTTATTCCGCTCTGAAAGTAGTTAGCACCCGCCTAACATGTTACTTTTAATAAACAAAGTCAAGGTTTCTTGGTATTTGATTGGCACTTGAACTAAAATTGGATTTTAATTCTTCTTTCTCCAGCAGTAAAAATGTCTTAGAATAGATGAGACAGGGAGATATATGAATGAACTCTACCCGACATATAAAAATGTAGAGCTTTGTCATTTGCTTTGTCCACTTAGATAGCACGAATATTTTATTTACGAAAAGAAATAGGAAGGGTAAAGAAATAGGTTCTTTTGTCCTCCAAATACCAATATAAGAACTTATCTCTATCTCAAATCAAAAGATGTATGAGGTAGGTATTTAATTTCGGGTGTTTGTAATTATGTTACACTCTTACTCGTATGTTTATATTACTGACTGCTTACGAAGTCCTAGAAGGAGGGCGTGATGCTACTTCAGATTACAGAAAGACCATATTCTTCGGAGCTAGAGACGGCATTTACAAGTACTACCCAGATTCGCTATTAGCGAAAAAATACGGTCCATTTAAAAGTAGGCGCACGCCGTTGATTTTTAGTTGGCCGATAGTTGTGACCGATTTTAATTTGTGTGAAGAATCGGCCAAATCGAATCGGCGTAGTGTGCGCACTCCCATACATGTCCATACTGATCAACTGCCCGACTAAACTATCGGCCGACGAAAAATCAACGGTGTGCGCCTACTCTAATTATTCTTAATTTCTCCTATTTATACTGGCATTATTCTGAATAATTTATACCTACATAACTTGAGATTATAAAAAGACCTCGCGTGCGATGTCAATCTGTTCGCGAACTGCTTTATGGCCTACATTTTAATAACGAAATACAAAACAAAAATAGCTAAGAATGATAGATTAAGCCTTCTTGACCTTATAAGCCGTTTAGAATACTTAATTTCTCACAATTGCGTCATTGTTTTTTTTTCTGTTTTCTATTGCCGTTGTTTACTTTTGTATGTTACATTATATTGGTATGAGATCTTGCCGTTGTGTTAAGGTAGGTACATAATATAGGCTAACCTAATATTACCTACAGTTATGTGGTACACGTTACGCCTTTCGTTTGTTTACCCGAGTCATGAACATGCGTGGGTCACGTCTTTTTTTTTCATGTATAGCGTGGTTCTAGTTTTATTATAATAAGCTATTCTGCAATACAAGAGAATAAATAGTCATTTTGTTTCAGCTCCTGTAATTCTACCGATCCATAAGTCCATCAACCATACAATACCACGGTCTCGCAGTTTTTGAGGGCTCAGCTCAAAGCCTGATGGCTTTTTTGGTAGACCAAAAGAGAGTAATTGATCAGTATCTTACCATCCCAGGTCCCAAGCGGAGTGGAAGGCAGGATGCGCGCCCATAGCTCCTAGTGGCACTCCAAACCCAAACTCGATCTTGACGTCTTCCCCCCTCCGGGCACCCCACGATCCTCGGGCTGTCCCCTCACGAGGCTCGCTGGCCCCACTTTGCGATGCGTCATTCGTCATTATGACCAATTCGTTCTAGACTGTCTGGTTGCTACATACATGCACGGGTGCTATTTGATTACTAATTCCAGTTAGTATCAAATGCTAAGTGCTGTCTTTGAAGATTTCAAAACAGATTTGTATCTACTGAAATCTGACGCAAGTAACTTTAAACTATTTATTCTAATGCCATAAAATATTACTCCATTATATACTTATTATTATTTAGGAATATTCGAAGAAAATTTTGGAATAATACTCCAAATTGAACAAGGTTTTTCAGCTACTGAAGCTGAATGCATAACAGTAGCTTACGATTCCCGTAACTTCCTTTCTGCATTGATTAACAATTCAATATTATTATTTCAATAATAACATATTATAACAATTCAAATGCCATGGTCACACAAATCCAGTCAATCAATGTCAATAGCAAGGACACCCGTAGCGTGCAGTTTAAAATAATTTCACTACTACTGAACTTATTTCTGCTTTAATAGCATTCCCATAGGAAAAACGATCTATGTTGAGTTATCTATCTAAAGATAGTAAATGTCCTCTATCTAAAAATAATTGATGAACTGATAAAACCTATCATAAAAGTCCCAAATTACTATTGCGTCAAAATTAATTTTAACAATTAAAACCTAGATATTATAACAGACACACCACACAATTCTACTCATCCAAAAATGCACAAGAAATACTGAAGCCCGTGAGTTGAATGCGTTAAATATATTTACAGTCGTAATCCTATAGCCGTCGTGCTACGAAGCAGCGGTGCTACGAGCGAGCGGCCGGCCCGCGTGTCCACGACTGGCGGACGATGACCGACGCGTCGCGACGCTTATTACCCTTCTGGGTATGCCCTAAAAACCTTTTCAGCGTTAACGTAGACGGTAACGTACACACTTTTTAATTCGTCGCTGCTTCGAACAAAGCGCTCGTGTGGCGTTATCTTTCATGCATAAAGCTTTAAACAGAATTAGTCACTGTAATTAATACGAAGACTAGACTGGTGCATTACTTAATTAGTTTTAGTTAATTTTGCATATCGACATGGAAATTTTAGAGAAGGAATGCTTAAAAGTATTATGTAGAGACAAGTTTGAATTTCTCATTACTCTTACTAACGATACAAGGACTCATAAATGTTTTTATGCACCTGCATACGTTTTACACCTGTAAACTCTATTAACATATTAGGTTTTGAAATGAATTCAGGTCAGCTGGTAGAGAATGACTTATGGCATTAAGCTCGCCTTTTTGTACTGAACATTGTTGTGTGTGCAATAAAGTCTAAATAAATAAATAAAATAAATTTGTATGATATTTGTCTAAGTACTTTTTCCATAAATCGATGGTTCCTACGTATAAGGGCGAAACTGCCGCTTACGCCTTTTTCCAATTATTTAAGCAATGATTTCACTTTGCTCTAATCTATAACATCAGTAAGAAAAAAAATTTTTTTTTCCATTAGATACAAAATAAAATTTTAGGCAAATAGGCGTATGTGCAAAACTACGCCACGTATAAAGCCCAATCATACGATTCGTCAATCTATACGAGTAGTTGCTTACATAAACATATATTTTTTATAATCCAAATCTTAAATAAAGCCATGAAAATATTTAGCAAATTGTTTTATTTATAAATTATGACACATTATATACTTATTTAATTTTTAGCGTTAAGAGTCGCATCTCAAACTAATTTGATAATTATAAATAACTTGAAAAAATCGAACTGCCTAAGGCATCGTGGGTTCAATTCCCGCCTTAGGCAATTCGATTTTTTCAAATTATTTATATTTTTTAAAAATATGACACATTATGTTAAAAGACCTAACTAAATCTCGAGCACAGTATATGGGCGTATTTGCGTTAAAACGTAAAACGGTACATTAAACGACTTTTTCTAACTGATTTATTATTGATATAGCACATGATAACAATTAAAATAATTACATGCATAAATAAAGAGAGTAATCGCTTAAAATATTATATTTACGTTGTCATTTAAGTCTCTTTACGTTGAACAATATACATGAAATTATAGAAATATGCCGACGTAAAAGGGCAATGCGTAAAATCTCAAAATATATAAGAAAAATATAAAAATTGATAACAGCAGTAGCAAAAGCATTACATGTTAAGGCTAAATGTGAAATTTCATTAAATTCGTTTTAGTAGGTCAGAAGATATGACCCAAAAATATGGTTCTGGCCACTAAAATGGCTCTCCTGTAAAATTTACTTTTTTCACTTACGCCAGTATACGTAGGAGCCATCGAAATGGAATGTTGTTTTAAAATTTTCAGAAGTATACAAATTAAACTACAATATCATTTTGCCAATATTTATACAACTTTAAAATAAAATACATTACAAAACACTCAACATAACAAAATACAACTATGTAATACCAAACTAAACGCACATTAACAAGAACTCGAAGCTAAACCAAACGTACGAAACAGCCAAAGAAACTCCTGAAGAAGTACTACTGCCAAGTATTTCGTTTTCATAGGGCTTCAAGTAGGGCATGTACTTAAGCACCATGTTAAGCATAGGGCCCCTGTCGGTCTTGTTCTGGTCCGAGCCAGCATTCTGAACAGCTGGTCTATAATGTCTAACAGGATCTGGAGGCTGCGTGTTGTCTAATATGTCTGGGGGTGGTGGCACATCTCGTAGCTCGCGACGCACCTTGGGAAATGGTAGACCATTGTTAGCTAAAATCTTACTACCCAGTGGTCATACGTACTATGAAGGATTTAGAAATTTGCTTTTTAATTTAACAGAATAATGTAATGTTGAGTGTAAGCGCTGGACGCAGGCCGCTGCTAATCGATCAACATGGAAAGCATTGGGAGAGGCCTATGTTCAGCAGTGGACGTCCTATGGCTGAAATGATGATGATGAATGTAGAGTTGCCTAAAGAGTAAAATTGAGCATATTATATTGATGTGTAAAGAAAACATTACTATCAGTTTGACTTTTTTGTATTACTAGGTTGGTACTTATGTTAATTATAACGAGACTTACCTTCCCTGGTGTCGACCTGATCTCTTCGAGGTTACGCTCCATGCGATCCAAAGCTTCCTGTATCTCTCGTACAGTTTCAGCTGTTAACAAATGGATAATTTAGTAATTAAAAATGTATAACTGTAGTTAAGTTGGGTGAACTTTAAAATTTTACTTCTGAGTACATCAGATTGTTTGTGAAGAATTTCTTTTTGTTTGCTCTTCATGGCGCAACTTGCATTTAAAAGTTTCTTCCTTATACTTACGATCGGTAAGATAATCTTCATCTGGCCTCAAAGTGGAAAAAATGGCTGTCTCATTCATATTCCTCGTGATGTTCTTAAAGTAATCATAAGTCAGTGCTGCTCGTTTGTTTGTGATATTGGTAACGTCTTCTTTAAAAGAAAATCCTGAATTTTCTTGGCTAACATCATCGGACGAAGAAATATGTTGTTGCATCATAATTTCAGATGAAGAAGTTACGCTCTGTGACTCATCAATGCTGCTTGAATTTTCATGCTTCTCTGTTATATTTTCTGTGGAAATTACCCAAAATTAGCTTCTCTACAATTGCCATATTCCATAATCTTTGGTACTTTTAAATACGTACCGTAATTCATGTTTGGCGTTTCTGGCAAAGATGTGAGGTTTTCGTCTTGTACATCTAGCAGTGCATATTCCAAATAAACATCACGATCTATCTTTGCATGGTCTGGACTAGGTATATCTTCGTTAGGATCTGCAACACATGATGAGTCAATTTAAAGTAATTGTTCAAGTGCTAATTTACTTATTCTTGATCGAAACAACTTACTAGTGTTTTCTGGTGGAGAATGAGTTCCAATATCGTTTAGTTCTTCAATATTGTAAGATTTTGGACGTCCGATTAAAATAGCTTTCTTTACAGGCTTGGTGACAATGGTGACATTATTCACAGCTTCTTCTATCTTCATCAAAAACTTCGTTGCATTTATAAACTTATGCGCATCATTTTCCATAAGTTCATTATCTATATGAACCACGTTCTCATCTAAACCCAGTGTTTCTATAATATCTCTCTTATGCACAACATTTTCGTAATGAGGGGTGGTGATTTTGTTATCCATTGTAACTACCGCTAACTTGGTGAGATACAGCTCGTCTAGACTTCCCAGATAGTTCAAAATTTCATTATCTTCTATTTCTAATACTATACTTAACAGAACATGGTCTTCTAAACTCATTGTGCCGTCAACATCAGTAGATGCATCCAAATTGCGTTCTGGAATATGCACATTTTCTTTGGATATTTCTCATTTCGTTATTTTATGCGAAATTTTAGTTAAAAGTTACTTAGGTATAGCTGTGCATTTATTAGATTTACTTACCTACACGTAGTATTACCTAACTACATAGATGTCTAAAATGTACGATATTCAATGTCTAGGCAATACACCTAACTTGTAACCAAATGGATTATAGATGTCTGCGGTGCATACAGAAAATTATGTGAAAAAGTGCATTAAAATGTACAGGTAAGTAGGATAATCAACTGCCTGCTTCAAAAAGAAACTACTGCTACTAGCAACAAACTGACAAAACTATATAAAGGTCATTTGATAGCTCTTACGAAAGTTGCAGAGTGTAGTCAATTCTGGGTCAGGCATGGATCGCGCGGGACAGGCAGTGGCGGGGGCTGCTGGGATCCACAGCGCCCTGGACTGCACGGGGCCCCGGGGCGCGAAGTTGCAGACCAGCCGCTCTACGCTCCTCAACCGTCCGTTCAATTCCGACTAAAAATTCGTAAGATATATACTTATGACAATATTGCAGTACTTAAGTACAGATCTATGAATATCAGATGCCCTCATTTGAAAAACGATGTCTCTTGGCCATTTTTGACGAGACTACATTCATAATGATTGACTCACCATAAATCTACTCCGACCACAACCGACCATGTAGCTTCTTGCCCAAATCATTTGAGCGAAATCGCCGTAGAACGTGACGTTGCTCATAGGGCTGCAAAATTGAAAGCAAGCACTTCAAGAAGATGTTAGAAGCTATCAATCTTATTTGTAAGCCACGATTTCAAAAATACTTATGTTAAAACAAATAGAGAAATTCCAGAAACTGATCATCTAGCTATTTAATAGCCATAGTATCAGAAAGTTTGAAGATCAAGAGCAATCATCATTTGTGTAACTCGGAATCTATCTCAATCCCCTCGAGTGCTTTCAGGCACACACAGTAGGTTAGGTACAAACAGTAATAAAAACTAACATCATGTAAGAAGTGACGTTCCCCTTGTATAAGATGCTCTGCATGTACCACATGTCGACCATAGACTCCACGCGGAGGCCCGGGGCTTCCCCCACCACTGACGCCACGCACTGCCCCACTGTAGTCGAATCTGGACATGAAGATAAGAGACCGTTACCGTAGTATTAGTACCCTAGACAGTGCAGTAATGAGTGATAGTGAGGGAGTGACTAGGAGTGCAGGAAGTAGAGGAGTGAGAGAGTTCCACCCTCCTCTATGGGAGGGCTTTACATGGTCAGACGTATGGAGATCAGACTGACTGGATATAACATTATTTATAATGCGAACAGCTAAGTAGCTGTTCGCATTATAATAATGTAATCTCTAAGTAGAGACTGGAATTCGTTGCCTGCTGCTGTCTTTCCCGAACACAATAATACGGGCCTTTTCAAGGCGAGAGTGAATAGGCACTTACAGGACAGATATGTACCATCCTAAGCTGCATCTCACTTAACACCAGGTGCGATTGCGGCCTAATACCTACTTGCCTAGTCAATTCAATTAAAAAAAATACTTATGGTCAATGAGAAAAGATTAGACGATAATATTTACAGAGGTCTCTACAAGCGTCTCGCTCGTCAGGCGTCCGCGGCGGCCGGCACTGGTCAGCCCACCGCTGGGCTTCACGAGCCAGTTCTTCCACCCAACGCTAGAAGCAGAAACAATCAAAGGGGACGATAAATGATGTAATATGAGGGTTATTTATTTATTTATACTTCAATGCCAAAATTTTAACATTAGGCGAACTTAATGCCATAAGGCATTCTCATCCAGTTTACGAGGTACATAAGGGGAGCAAAAGCACGTAACGGAACTGTTGTCTTGAATACAATTCTCTAGCCGACTCTAGCTAACAGTTTGCCTTATACCCACACGAGGACTCGGACGCACGATCCAATATGGACGGGGCGCGCGCGATTAGTGCGCGGTGCATAGTCCGGCTATGTACCATGTTCCAGCTACTTATTGATTCATAAAATAGAAACGGACTAGGAAATGTAGAGCAGGAAAGCCTAGCCCACTAGATGGACCGATGATCTGGCGAAGGTCGCGGGAAGCATTTGGATGCGGATTGCACAAGACCGATCCTTGTGGGGAAGTCCCTAGGGTAGGTCCCTTTATCCAGTAGTGGATGAGTCATTTGGCTAAAACTAATTGATGATGTTTATTGGCTGTAATAATGAATCGTACCAACTTGAGCATGTTCCCAGCAGGAGGCAGGCGCCGCAGACGCCCGCTCGCGGCCTCGCTGCGTCGCCGGTTAAGGCGCGCGACTACCCGCACTTTCTCCTCGTTGGTGAGGTGTGCGTCCATGTACCCTCTGCATCTTTCGCTTGGGCCGGGCTACAGCATCAGTGAGCTTTAGATTGTGATGGAGCTACAGAAAACTAGATTTGAGTTGCTCTAATATAGTGTGAGTTTTTGTAAGAAGCGAAGGATTACACATGGGATTTAAGCTCCCTCTTCCTAAGATGAGAGGACAACATTGCCGTGAATCAGGATTGACTACTTTCATACCATTCCAGCCCTAATTAATTTGATTATTTCTCTAGAGCAGGGTTTCTCAATTAATGGGTCGCGACCCAGTGGTGGGTCGCGAGCGAAAATTGAGTGAACGACACACCACCCTACCGATCCAACCGCTGGGCAGCGGGTGACAATTTGTACTTAAACTTTGTTATTTGAAAAGTCCTATTTTAGGTATATTGGTAACGGTTAAATTTCCTATAGGGTCCCGATTTTGGGAACTTTTATGAGATGAGTCGTAGCCCAGACAACTTTGGGAACCACTGCTCTAGAGAGAAATCTCGTGACAAGGCATGTCGAACCCTAGATACGCCAATGGGCCAATGGGTTCCATTAGGAAACACGATTCTGCTGTACTTCAGAGCTACACATGTGAGACAATGCGATCTTTTCTGGTAACAAGGATATCAAACTGGACGTCTTGTGTACCTTTAAAGGAATTGGGCTGCGACATTTCCCTCCTTAATCATACAAGCTGTTTTACTCACCTGAAACTGACAGAAGGTATGTGCATTGGTATGCCCACACATCTTGGCAGCGCAATAGTTGACGGAGCGCTGTGCTAACAAGCCTTGAGCGAGGACTGCGTTGGCGACCAATGTTAGGACCAACGCGACCGCCCGCCGCATCTTCAACGGTTAATTTTGCCTAGCATTTTTACTTTGCGTTCACTTTTCACTTGCTCTTTGATTTTGATAGGTGACATTTTGTCTGAATGACGTCTAGAGCCGTAGAGCACAGGCATCATCATCGTAGAGAATCTTTTGGAAGGTTGTATCTATGATGCCATAATATCTGCTTTTCTTTGATACAGTGGTCATGGTCATGGATCATGGTAATGGTAATCCTATAACACAGCACCGAACTTTGCCCCTCTTAGCCCATAAAACGTAAATTATACGAGTACCAGCAAAGCTTATCAAACCCAGTGTGATATTCACAAATTCAAAATAGAATCATACCAGTTCGGTTTAATCCATAGTTCAATCCAAGGTTCAATCAATAAAATATAATGTCATTCCCCATTAAACACGCAATGCACATTGAGCTGTATGAAAAGTCCCCCAATCCAGGTTGTAATCAAGCGATGTTTCCACTATACAAAGTAGCACTAAGTTGTGAATTAAATCAAATAATAAAAACATACAAATTAAGGAATATAATTATTTTAATTAAATAACATCACATATTAACAATCAAAAAAGAAAAATATTTCACAAATATACATATTATAGCAGAATTCATTGAGCCTTTCTGAGCTAATACATTCGTTGCACTACTTTTAAATGCTTGCATATTATTTACAATACTGAATACATAAACGGATTTTATAATAAACCTATTTTATAATATTTATAATCCTTGCGTATGGATAGTTAACTACAAAGATTAAGTCCACCTATGAAAAATCGTTTTAAAACATGAAAAAATTATATTTCAAGAAACGCGTGAAAGATGGAATTAAATTCCACTGTCAATAACAACCTTAAACACCACATCTATTTTTTAATATTATCTTGAATATCTTCAAGCAATCCACCTAATTAAAATATTTGTACACGAAGAAATATAAATATCAAATAAAATGTAAATATAAAAATAAAAATGAAACGACTCGAATGTGTGACTTTTATCGGTGGCACTGTAAAACAAATTAATTCGATTTGTGTGTGGCACTTTCGACTAGAAAACTTTACAAAATTTATGTTTACTGTACTTATTTTATATACTGGCAATATCACAATATAAGTGTTACAATATAAAAAAATGGTATTTAAATTAATCGGTATTAAAAGTAGTTTTGATGAAAGAAAATAAAATACAGTGGAGCAAAACATAATATTAAGGTTTAGGGATCGATTACAATTTGCATGAATACGACGCACGGATTTTAAACAATAGAAATTAATATTTACTTACTTGTACTACCCGTTCGCGCTAAGTTTGCCGGTCCGTGGAATGCGCGTCCCCTCCTCCAACCGCGATTAAACGCAATTAGTTAGTGATTAAACGTGATTAAGCAATTAAGTGTTTTATTTTACGCAAATACACAATTTTTATCAATATTAATAAATAAAAAATATTTTCAATATAGTTTGCTAGTTATAGACGCTTTCCTTCGAGTGACGTCATATCGCCAGCGGCAAACTTATCGCGAACGGACAGTAGGTATATACAATTGTGATATCTTAAATTGTTATAGGTACTAGCCTTCTTTTATTTGTAAAATAGTTACAAATATTTGTGATTATTTAAAACGCTTCAATAGGAATAGTAGTGGAATGCTTTATTTCTTCGCGTCTTCCTCAGACTCTGGTTCGGGTAGATAGTACATGGAGTCGATGAAGTATTTGGTGATGTCAGATACGAGGCTTCTGTCTGATATCTCTTGGGCGACACCGTAGATTGCCATCTGGAAATAAAATAGTGTGGTAGTCAATACAAAGATTATAGATAGCCCTGTTTCTTTTACCAATGACAGTAACAATAAATTGTTAGATGGAATTTATTAGTTGCAATACGCGAAGATAAAAATCTCCGTTAGTCATCATTAGTCAACTCAGTTAATCATGACATAATAGTCATAAAATAGACCAGCGGTTCCCGAAAGGTGGTCCGCGGAACCCTGGGGTTCCGTGGAAAGGCCGCAAGGGTTCCGTAAAAAATATTATTCCACGTTTCGTGACCGACGTTGTTCGCTCGCACCGACTTGTTTACGCACAAGGGAGGGGCAGGGCGTGCGGGCGGAGTAGTACGGGGGTTCCGCTAGGAAAAGTATAATCAATTAGGGTTCCTTGGCAAAAAAAAATTGGGAAACCCTGAAATAGACTACAATTATAATGCATTTATTAATCGTAAAACATGTTATCGATCAGTCGTTAATTACTTCTAATAACTATTATCATCAAGTCATTTAGTTTTCTCCCCAATTTACCAGAGACAAATGTAGGATTTGGCCTACACTTCCAATACGTTTTTGTCCAAAGACTGATCTACACAGGTGTATTGGTTTCAAGATACAATAATAACTTGGAAATAATAACCCCAATGTGTGGCGCCGGCATAAAATGTATGGCAGTATCGCATTTTGATACTATAGTCTATCCAACATAGCTTGATTAGAATGACAGCTGTCATCAAAAGTAACGACATAACTTTGTAGTAGCGATCAATGAGAGCTAAATATTGGCGGACAAGAAATAATTCACGTCTGACCTACAAACAATATTTTCGACGACAGTGCTTCCAATAAAAATGATAATTTCGTGTAAATGCAGCGTTAAATTACACCAATAAGTAGTAATTCGAAATTATAAAAATCAAGCTAGAGTATTAACGACGTCTCTACAAGGTTATCTCGAGTTACAAAAATGTTAGTGTTGGGACATATCGACAAATGTCATATTAAATTAAAACTATTTTTTTAACATATTTAACAAATTTTTTTTCTAACTAATTTTTTAACATATTTAAGTCAAGTTATACGTTTTTCTAAATGTTCACTATTAAAAACCAAAAAACATTTCATTCTTAAATAATCAAACATCGGAAATCAATCACCGGTAATTTTTTGGGTATTCATAGCACCTTTGCTCTAGAAGAGATGTCCACCGCCCTCTAGCGAGAGGAAAAAACCACTGAAGAACACTGATGATAATGACTACGACTTAGGTTGTACACCCTTGACATGAATTTTACATTTTACTGTCTTTAAATTTAAATCATAATTGTCATTTTTATGAATAAAGATATATGAAGAAAAATTGGGTGCATTTTTTCATATCATCTTTTCGAAAACTTATCGATACATCTATGTGAACCGTACGAAACATACCCATCACTAGTCACATTCGTTTGACAGCCGTCATTCTAATCAAGCTATATTGGATAGACTATAAATATAATTTTTTGTATTACCTTTCCCTCCACAGGCCCGGAGGAGGTAGTAAGACACTCGTGCGCAGCGCTGCGTACATCGGTTACGAAGCGGGAAGCCACGCCTTCCGCCGTGTGTGCGTGCGTTATGCAGATATGGATGCTGTAGACAAACAATAAAGTCAAAGTTAAAATTTCTTTATTTGTATATACTATTAATCGCTTACTATGGGCCTCATAAGAAGGCTCAAGGTCACCCAAAGAGCGATGGAGCGTGCTATGCTCGGAGTTTCCCTGCGTGATCGAATCAGAAATGAGGAGATCCGTAGGAGAACCAGAGTGACTGACATAGCTCGCAGAATCGCTAAAATCAAGTGGCAGTGGGCGGGGCACATAGCTCGAAGAGCTGTTGGCCGCTGGGGCAAGAAAGTTCTTGAGTGGCGACCACGAGCTGGAAGACGTAGCGTGGGCAGGCCTCCCACTAGGTGGACCGACGATCTGGTGAAGGTCGCGGGAGGTTCCTGGATGCGAGCGGCGCAGGACCGGTCTTTGTGGAAATCCTTGGGGGAGGCCTTTGTCCAGCAGTGGACGTCTTTCGGCTGAAACTAACGATAGACTATTAAATAGTTCTTACAAATCGTCAAATATGTTGCTCTTAAGGAGCCTCTACATGTCTCATAATCTTTTTACCCTACCAGCGCTTCGAGACCAACATTTGGTAAGTGCTGAGAAGAAGCGCCGCTACAAACTCAGTCACCACTGTCTGCCGGTTAATATAAATAAATAGAAAAAGCAGTTGCAATATTACTCCTGTTACATTACAAAAACACAATCTTCTTTATCCTGGTCCCTGCTGAAAACCAGCTTCAGCAGCTTGACGACTTTTGCAAAATTTCTGACAGGATTTTTGCCTCTTCAGCATTCTTAATTTTAGTAAAATAAACTAGCCGCCGCTCGCGACTTCATACGCGTGGATCCCGTTTTACCCCCTTAGGGGTGGAGTTTCGTAAAATCCTTTCTTAGCGGATGCCTACGTCATAACATCTACCTGCATGCCTTTTTTCAGCCCGATCCGTCCAGTGGTTTGGGCTGTGCGTTGATAGATCACTATGCCAGTCAGTCAGTCAGTCAGTCACCTTTGAGTTATACATACAGGGTGGAAACGATAAGTGATCTCATTCGATTATTTCTAAACTATACTAGATATCGAAAAACTGTTTACTAATTCTGAAAGGTAAATTTTCGGATAGATCCAGTTAATTCTGTAACCTAATATTGGTACCGTTTGAAAGAGCTCGTGAAGCACTTTCAGGATTAGTAACCAGTTTTTCGTTATCTTGTATAGTTTAGAAATAATCGAATGAGATCACTTATCGTTTCCACCCTGTACATATTTAGATTAAGAATATTTGTACCTAAATGTGAAATGAATAAAGTAATTCTATTATATTGTATTCGTTAACTAATAAATATCTAATGATTTCTTTCTTAAAGAAGAGAAGTCTCTCTCTATCTCATTGTTTATTTCTTTCATTGCCATTGTTTATTCTCACCCAGAAGGGCTTGCCGTAAACATTTCTCTCTCTCTCTCTCCCTCTATTTTCTTTTTCTTTCTTACTGTAGACATAGACACTCACCCTGAAGGGAACTGCAAAGCGTTCAGACTCCATCCTTTCTTGTGCAGTGATTCGGCCAGCTTGAAGATGTCGAACCTCTTCGAGCCGAAAGCGATGACGGAAGTCGCTGGTTTACCGTAAATGAAGATGCCTTCGACTTTGCGTAGCCTGTGTTTAAAAAAATGTTGTAAAACTTGGTATTATTATCGAGTATTGACATGACATTAAACAGTTCATTTATACGCAAATAAAAGTAATTAGGTAATAAGATATTAAAAAACCTATGGATCTAAGTTTTGAACATAAGATTGATCTAAGTTTTGAGCTAAAGTCGCTTTTGACCTATTATGGGGAAGACTCTCGCCCGTACTCAAAAACATTACTATGAAGTCTCACAGTGCGCGTGGACGCACAGGGTGACACACGAACGAATCATAGAACTCTATTCAACGCCGTGCGTCCGATTTGCTGCTTCACTTAAGCAAGCATCGTTTGTGTATACAGGCGTCTTTTACAAAGTACGCCTAAAATTAAATTCGTTTTTAGGCACACTTAAGAACGAAACAAAACGCAAGTACTATCCGTTCGCTTTAAGTTTGCCGCTGGCGATATGACGTCACTCGAAGGGAAGCGTCTATAACTTTAACAAACTATATTTAAAATATTTTTTATTTATGATTATTGGTAAAACAAAGACAGCGTTCGGGAAGCTTCGCGAAATTCTCACGTCCGAAATACCGCAGTGTCTCAAGTGAAAAGTGTTTGACCAGTGTGTGTTGCCGGTGTGTGTGGTCTTTGTGGAAATCCTTGGGGGAGGCCTTTGTCCAGCAGTGGACGTCTTTCGGCTGAAACGACGACGACGACGATTGGTAATAACTTTTTTAAAAAATAAAACCGACTTCAAATACGTGAACACAAATAATACCTATTCAACAAAAAAAATAATCGTTCAAATTGGTTCATAAATCGGCGGAGATATTGCATATAAAAAAGTTCATCCCCAATTTTCCACCCTTGGGGGTGAAATATTTTCTTCGAATTCGCATGAAACCACCCTTTTAATAATACCTATTCAACAAAAAAATAATCGTTCAAATTGGTTTATAATCGGCGGAGATATTGCGTATAAAAAGTTCATCCCCAATTTTCCACCCTTGGGGGTTGTTTTTTTTATTATTAAATTTAAATGGGACCACCCTTGAGGTATTACCTATACGCCGAAAAAAGATTTGTTCAAATCGGTTCATAATTGGCGGAGTTATCGCGTAACAAACATAGAAAAAAAAAACATACGGGTCGAATTGAGAACCTCCTCCTTTTTTTGAAGTCGGTTGAAAATTGTGTATTTGCGTAAAATAAGACACGTTAATTGCGTTTAATCACTAACTAAGGCCTGGTCCGTGAGCAAGTACAATTTTGTCCAATGACCCCAAGCTACCCATCCTTATCGCTCGCGCGTAATTATATTGCTGTCGCGACTGTGCGACGGGCGCCCGCAGTGAGTGTGCGAGCGCGACAGCAACATAATTACGCGCGAGCGATAAGGATGGGTAGCTTGGGGTCATTGGACAAAATTCTACGTGCTCTAATTGCGTTTAATCGCGGTTGGGGGAGGGGACGCGCATTCCACGGACCGGCAAACTTAGCGCGAACGGGTAGTATGTCGGCGGCAGATAGTAAATCAAAGTAAAGAACTTCAAACTCACTCCTGCTCCACGTATCGTGTGGTGGTGATGATCTCATCCGTCATATGCACGTAGCGCGCCATTCCCACGTGCATCATCGTCGCCCAGCACGCCGCGATCAGGCCGCCCGCGCGGCTGCCTGTAAAGACAACTAGTTAAAGAACTACCCTACAATGAGGGCTATCGTTTTTATACTTAACAGTTAGCACCCCTGGCGATTGACAGGACCTTACTCTACAGTGGCGCCATCTTGATGAGTGCAAATGCGATAGTCCTCCTACCACTTTCGCGCTCACCAGTTGGTGCCACTGTCTTCGCTACTAGCAAGTGACAGGACCTTACTCTACAGTGGCGCTAACTGGTGAGCGCTAAAACGATAGCCCTCATTATTGAGACCTGTTCACTTGCCATATGAAGTGCCATTAATACTAAAAGACACTTTATTTTAGCATTGAAAAACAGATTAGTTTTTAATTAAAGGCACGAGTAAATTGTAGTTTTACGTCAATTAAAATGTCCTACGATATTTATTTATTAAAAAAAACAAATTGAGTTGCCAAATCAATGCAAACATAACAACGGATACGTAAACGTGCACGTGCAAAGTTCCACGATGTTGTATTATGTGAGACTAAATTAGATACGATAAAATACTCAGATGTCTATACATACGAATTAGTCAACTTTAAAGATTAATTAATAATGCAACTGCACCCTATATTCGCTAGAGCGTGTCTAAATGTCATAGGACATTCTTCCAGGGTCAACTAGAAAAACGTCGACATTTGAAAAAAGCAGCAAGATATTTTCAAAAATGATATTAAAGTAATCGTTAAACTCTCTGATGTATCACATAAAAAAAAAATACTCACCGTTGACAGTGGGTGAGCCGTATACGCCGCCGGGCCAGTCGGTCGTGACGGTATACTGGTAGTGCCGGTATTCCGGTTTGCGGTACAAAACCACTGAGGTGCCTTTTGGCGCATATCCGTACTGAAAAAAAAGTAAGTAAATTTTAATGACGTAACGTGTAGCGCTGATTTCACTGCATCTACAAATTGTCTTTCATATCAACCAAAGAACATGCTTTGCAGAACAAAGACCTTCCCCAAGAATTTCTACTACGTCACGTCCTGCGTAAGGCTCGATTTCTACATGGGCGCATCTTGTATGTAGGGGATTCCCGCGATATACTTAGTAGATGTAAGGGAGGAACGGTTTTTTGCCCCACCCATTGCCAGCTGTTTTTTTTTCTTTTTTTTATCCATTTTATATATGTATTTTTTTATCCACAATTTGTTTGACAATTTCGTCCTCTCTGGTTGACGAGATCTATAGAAGACAGACTCCTCATACCTGATTCGATCACGTTAGGAAAAATTTCATCATCAAAATAACCCAAAATCATGAAAAAAGTTGCTAAAAAAAATGTCGCAATCGGAAAGATAAAACGACAGCAGGTGGCTTACCTTATGCGTATCAGCTGACATGCTACAAACGCCAGGCAGTCGGAAATCAAATGTTGGTATATTATGGTGACCTGCATGTTCCATAAATGCACGAAGCCTCCCAGGCACGCGCCTACGTGCAAGTGGAACCCGTACTAGAGAGTAATGTCAAACAACGCCGCGATGTCAGACAACGCCGCGATGTCAGAGAACGCCGCGATGTCAGACAACACCGCGATGTCAGACAACGCCGCGATGTCAGACAACGCCGCGATGTGAGATAACGTCGTAATGTCAGAAAAGGCCTCGTTCGATGACGTCATCCATCGAACCGTAGGGGTAGTTATATTACATACATGTAAGAACCTATTATATGCATGTACTTATCTCTCCTAGAGCTGATGGCCGTTGGGGCAGAAAATTTCTCGAGTGGCGACCACGAGCCTGAATACGTAGTGTGGGCAGGCCTCCCACTAAGTGGACCGACGACCTGGTGAAGGTGACGGGAAGTACCTGGAAGCGGGTAGCGCTGGACCGGTTGCTGAACTCTTAGAGGAGGCTTTGTCTAGCAGTGAACGTCATTTGGCTGAAACGAGCGAATTTATCTCACCTTATGCGTATCAGCTGACATGCTACAAACGCCAGGCAGTCTGAAGTCAAATGGTGGTACATGGTGACCCGCACGCTCCATGAACGCCGCCACAAAGCCTCCCAGGCACGCGTCTACGTGCAAAGGCACGTCATACTCTAGAGCGATGTCTGACAACGCCGCAATGTCGTCCATCGTTCCGTAGGGGAAGTTCGGCGCTGAGCCTACGATCTGGAAGATGTGTTGACAATATTAAGACTTGCAATGCGGCCAACCCGCCTAGATTATGAAAATATTTAAAAAAACATAATGGAGAAGTTGCCTGATGTTGAAAACATTATACAGGGTGTTAGGTAAATAGGTATATGAGCCGACACTAGCCCATGTTAACATGGTCATATAAATGGTATCGTGAAGTCAGAAATTTGATATCATAATTTTTTTTTTTTAATTTTCATACAAAATAAATTTTATAAAATCCGACTTGTATGAAAATTAAAATAATTAAAATGAAGATATCAATTTTCTGACTTCACCATACCATTTATATGACCATGTTAACATGGGCTAGTGTCGGCTCATATACCCATTTACCTAACACCCTGTATTTCTCTGAATGGGATTAAAATATAGACCAAAACTAAAAAGACGGTGAAGTTTTTTTTTAAATCCATCAAGATTTGTTTTGTTATGCGCAACTTTAGGGCCCTGTAACTTCTTTATTTGTAGAGATATTTTCATGATTTTTTCACAATTATTATTAGTTTTAGTTATATTTTTTTTTTTAAATTTGAAACTTCTCCATTACATCTTAAGAATACAAGTTACATCAAAACACATAACAATAGCACAAGAAGAAATCAAGAGAAAATAAAGAACTGAGCAGTGCCACCTTGTTGCAATAGCAATACCCATTGCAATGAGACACACTCTCAGCGTATTAGACAGTGGCTCCCGGAAGGCTGCGATGTGATTACTGCTCGAATACGCCAGCCAGGCAATAGGCTTATACGGAAATGTCTTCAACCATAGATGAAGAATTTTCAATTTCATCTCAAGAAGTTACTATTGCTCGTATACAGGATACAGGGCTATTAGACCCAGAACAGACGGTGAAACGCAACTGCAACGAAACTGCAACTTTGTGATGATTCTGATGAATGAAACTGAAACTGAAAGTTTCAAACTGGTAGCGTCATGTGTGGTCTCTCAACGGACGCTATGGCAGAAACTTAGATGCAACTCAAAAGTAACTAGCAGTTGCAGTTTCGTTGCAGTTGCGTTTCACCGTCTGTTCTGGGCCTTACACATTGTTTATGAGAAATGTAAAAGCTTATTAGGTAATTTGTGGACTGATATCTGGCCATAAATAAAATGAAGTCTTAGGATTAGATATAAAAGAAGAACAAAAATTATTTGAAATTCGAATGACGCAAATTGAAAATGAGTTTCAACTTACCAAGCAGGTCCTCCTGCCAATGGCCCTCTTGACCGCCGCGATATCAACACACAACGTCTCAGGGTCCACTGGTACCGACTTCACAGATAATCCCAGGTATTGCGCAGCCTTATCAAAGGCGGAATGGACTGTAGTGGGCACCACTATCTGAGGGTTGGATATGCCCTTGCTGTAAGCGTAGTCTCTGAACGCTTTGCACGCCATTATGATGGATTCTGTACCGCCTGTTGTGACCTGGAACATATTTTAGCAATAGGTATAGTTGTTCGATGTATATTATGTAATATGTATACCTAGATGACAGCATATACATTTTTGTTGCACCTATTTACAAAATAATGACGCCCGAGACGCATCGAGCGTGACCTTGACCAGTCTTATTATCTACCAAATAAGTACTTTGGCTTTGTAACTGTGAAACTGTATGTGTCATAGAGTGTACATTATGTGCAGTAGAAGGTCATAAAATGCAGAATATAAGGATGTACCAATTGGACTCAATCATTACTATGTAGAACCGTAGTACTTATTATTATTCTGTGGTAGAACAAACAGGGCTTCTATTTGCTCACCGATTTTTTCTGGTGACCCTAAAATTTCGATTCATTTCCAAAATAATTTATTTGATTGACCTAAACTCAGACAGATATAGGCATAAAACGGTACTTAATTTGATTACAGATTTATATTAAGGATATCAAATCTTTTATCTTTTCTTGTGATTATCACTAGCATGAAAATTACACAATATTTTTTCATTATAATCTTTGCTCATTAAAAACCAGCTAGATAAAATATCTTAATCTCACAAACAACAAGTCACCGAAAAAAATTCACAGTTGTAAAGAATGAGCGAATGCTCATTAGCATGTAAAGAAGTCACCTTGAAAAAGAATGGTTTTAAGAAATGGTTTGTAAAAGACTCAACATGGTTTTACGACAATGTTTTATGTTCCAAAAGATAATTAAAAGCAAGTGTTTGAAAAGAGATACGACTAAGTATAAATTACAATGGGCTTATCAACCATACAAGATTTGTTAGGTATTTTCTTACTTAACCAAACAAAAACATAAGATATTGTAATTTATTTAAACAACATATTTTTAAATTATTTATCTACCAAGCACTGCGTGCTTATTTGATTTGCTTATTTGTACATATGTAACAAAACAATAATAATTATGTATGGATAAATTCTATTGTAATATTTTTAAACTAAAACTCTGGCTATGTTATACTCATAGGAGCTTGTATTTTATACCTAGCAATGAGTGAGATTGGGGGAGGCCTATGTTCAGCAGTCACTGGACGTCATATGGCTGAGATAATGATGATGATGATGATGAATGAGAGAGATACCTGGCAAATGGTATTTTAAGATTTGTAAGGTAACTGCTTAAGGCAGGAAAGTTCTTGAGTGGCGATCACGAGCCGGAAGACGTAGCGTGGGCGTGGGCAGGCCCCCCACTAGGCGGACCGACGATCTGGTGAAGGTCACGGGAGATGCCTGGATGCGAGCGGCGCAGGACCGGTCTTTGTGGAAATCCTTGGGGGAGGCCTTTGTCCAGCAGTGGTCGTCTTTCGGCTGAAATGAACGAACGAACGAAGGTAACTACATACATCAAGTACAATCCACTCACCGTCCCACAACAGTTGTCGTCTCCATGGAACAAATTGGCAGCCATGCGCACAATTTCAGCCTCCATCTTGTTGACCCCAGGGAATACATCCGAGTGCAAAGGGTTGGTGTACGCAGACAGAGCGTACGCATCGCAGGCGACTTTGGCAATCTCTTCGTTGGTGTGATACACTGCCCCGGACACATTGCCGTTCTTCCAGTCATAATTACCTGTAATGGTAACAATTTAGGGACCTTCAAGTCACAAAAAAAGCAACTACTTAAATTGAAATTAACTAATTGTGAAATCCTGTAATTGTGTACAATCATCTTAACAAAATCATGAAAAATGGATTCAAGTTTTAATGAACATTAATACTAGAGATGAAACGGATATCCGGTAACTATCCGGTAAATTTACTATCCGGCCGGATACCGGATAGTAACTCACTATCCGGCCGGATACCGGATAGTAACTCACTATCCGGCCGGATACCGGATATTAAAAAACTGCGACATTTTTCTATTAATAAAATGACATACATTAATCTTTGATGTAAATATCAATAAAATAGCTTATAATAATGACGGCTTTTATTTAAAGTCTAAAAAGTTACAAGAAAGCCATATTAAGGCTTTTCAAAAAACTATTTTTTTCTGGGCTAATCACTCTTATGACGAATACATAAATAGTAAACATCTGTTAATGTTGAAATATTGCCAAATAAAAAGGCGATCTTTTTTTCACTGATGGTCTGGTGACAATATGATGCATGCAGTTCAGTCAGATTACGCAGCAAGTAAACTATAGTTCCAAAATACTGGACTGTCCTGTCGATGACATTGACAGCGGGGCGCCACCGTCAATACCGAATCGCTGTTTCCGATTTTTGCCATGTTGGAAACCATATAGTTGAACGATGGTAGCGCCCCCCTGTCATTGAGTTTGGCGGGACAGTTCAGCGTGGGTCATCTATAATTTAATTTTCGCTATTCAATCACACACTCACTACAGCAACCGAAATCACCTGAATTGATCTGCCCCCTAGACAAGTGACAAAATCTGACATTCTATTCGGACGGATTCGATATTCGAAAAGTGTGACTAGACTAGTCTACTAATAGACCCACTGATCGCGTTCGAAGCACCTGTGCGGCGCTAAAATCGTCACGAAATGCAACGAGACAATGGGCCAATTACTATCCGGCCGCCGGATATCCGGTATCCGGCCAAACAACTATCCGTTTCATCTCTAATTAATACCTTGATTTGAAAATGACCTATTAGTTGATTAGAGCTGTTTCCCAATAAGAGAAAGGTTGTGGATTCAAGTTCTACATAAGGCAGTCTAATTGAAGTTATAAATTAAATCAGGTTTAATAGACAGCAGCATTATAATTGCAACAACTATTTACTTTAAATAGTTTCTTCAAGTTTTACATTTAATGGAAAATTACAGCTAGTAATTAAGAGACTAACAATTACGCAACATTAAGGGCATGCTTTACTTCTTACCTAGACTGAGGTGGTCTCTGACTTCTTCAGCCACTTGTTCAGGACTCAGCCCAGTAGCCGGCAGCTCTCTCCTAACCGTGACACCAGCCAAGCGTTTGTTGACGTCCTTGCGGAAATCTTTATTGATTTCTGCCATTTTCTTCTCTATAGTCTTCCTCACTATTGGTAATTGGCGCAGCCAATGGAAGAATTGTTTACGTAGTCTTGTGGTGGGGCCTAAAACAATACATAAAAAGTTTAAGATCATTAACTAAGGCAAACGTCAAAAAGCTGTCAATATCCATACAAAAAGCACCGGTTAACGTCAAATTTACAGTCAAAGTTGGGTGGTGCAACCCAGCCTTAGTTGTATAATAATTTAGTTAACTAATGAGGTAATTATTTCAAATCAAATCATTTGAAAAGTATAGGAAAACTGATGGAATACTTACTTTCTTTGGCATTGTATAGACTGTGTGCCCAAACTAATGCTAGTATGGAGGAGGCGGTCATGGTTACGATCTGCCATGGCTCCTTCCCTTCGAAAAACCGGTTGACGGCTTTCAACGGTTGCGGACGCTCACTCATGGCTGCAACATTAATAAAGGCAATAATTAGAAACTGGAACTTCTATTCCTTAAATAAAAAGTAAAACCTTAATAATCTATACTTAGAAAGATTCTACTTAATATTATAAAAGCGAAAGTTTGGATGTCTGGATGTTTGTTACTTTCACGCAAAAACTACTGAACGGATTTTGATGAAATTTTACAGTATTATTGTTTATAATCCAGAATAACATATAGGCTATAATTTATAACGGTCTGTGTTAAACGAAATTTCACGCAGGTGAAGCCACAGGCAAAAGCTAGTGTAAAATAATTTTACTTCAGAAAAAAATACTTTAATGTGAGTAACTACAGAAGAATGGGATTAATTACCTAGTTAAATAGTTAACAAAGACATTGTTAAACAAAGCAATAGATCAACTAAGATGTTGATCTAACTAAGCTAAAAGGAAAAAAGGAAGGAAATTTTACCTTTAACTTTACAGATAACAGTGTCATGAAGTTCCTTAAACATTTTAATTTATTTAAGTAAACTAAAACGAATTTTTAGCAGTCCTATTTACAGCAAAAAGTGCGAAGTTAACTAAACACTACTTAAATAAAGGTCGGTGTATAATTAGTGCTAGTGGAGTTTGAACTTACCTAAGACAATCTGATTAATTATTTACACAAAATGAAATCTTATCTTCTATCCCTCGATCAATTCAGCTGTCAACCAGGCACATAATCTTGATAATTTTATTACCAAGATACTATTGGCCTCACTGATACAAAGAACACGACAACAGACGCGTTATGAGTCTGCAACGCGAGGCTCACTAATTAAAACAAAGGCCGATTAAACATTAATGATGATAACAAGAGAACGCTAAGTCTCATCTGTGCGCTATACAGATTAATTAGACAGGAATGTTTTTAACGTGAAATACAATACAACTCGATTTTTCGAACTCGAGCTCGAAGCGGGGTGGAAACGCCATAGTGTTTGACAGATGGTTAGTCAAATGTCATTTCTAGGGGCATCCACGTAATCTCAGCGAACATAGCCTGAGCCCCGATTACGGTAATTTTTAACGTCAACAATCCAGACACGCTTCTCGATTCTGCGATACGATTGGTCGTTCAACAGCGCACGTCAGCTGTTTTGACCAATCGTATTGCAGAATCAGAAACGCATCAGAAACGCGTCTGGATTGTAGACGTTAAAAGTTACCGTAATCGGGGCTCTGTAGGATTAGGCCAATTAAAAAAAAAGAGCATCCGTTATGTCAACTGTCATTTTAATGACATTGACAGGACAGTATCCACTCATTCATTCGCTGATGGTCTTTGACCACAGATATGGATTAGAGTAGATACAGCAAGTTGCTAGTCAAAGCGTGCCATTCCGATATGTCCAAATGGACATACATGGTCGAGTGATGTTCATGTAATCCGATTACAACAATCGGATACGATGATTTTACGGG